GCGCACCAGTGGAGGTAAGTGGGCAGGTCAAGATAGTGCGCCGGTAGAGGATAGCAGGCAGGTGAAGGTAGCGCGCCAGACGAGGTTAGCGGGCAGAGGAATTTAGCGCGCCGATGGAGGTTAGCGGGCAGAGGAATTTAGTGCGCTGGTGGAGGTTAGCGGGCAGGGCACGTTAGCGTGCCAATGGAGGATGTAAGCGCGTTGATGAATTTAGCGCGCCGGTAGAGGATAGCGGGCAGGTGAAGTTAGCGCGCCGGTGGAGGATGGAGAGCAGGTGAAGTTACCGCGCTGGTGGAGGATAGCGGGCAGGGTTAGTTAGCACGCCGGTGGAGGATAGCAGGCAGGTGAAGTGAACGCGCCGGTGGAGGATAGCGGGCAGGCTAAGTTAGCGCGCCGGTGGAGGATAGTGGTCAGGTGAAGCTAGCGCGTTGGACGAGGTTTGCGGGCAGATGAATTTAGCACGCCGGTGGAGGATAGTAGGCAGGTAAGTTAGCGCACCGGCAGAGGATAGCTGGCAGGGTAGGGTAGCCCGCCGGTGGAGGCTAGCGGGAAGGTTATGTTAGCGCGCCGGTGGAGGATAGCGGGCAGGTCAAGTTAGAGCGCCGGCAGACGCTAGATGGCAGGGCAAGTTGGCGCGCCAAGGGAGGATGTTAGCCGGCCGATGAATTTAGCACGCCAGTGGAGGTTAGCGGGCAGGCTAAGTTAGTGCGCCGGTGGAGGATAGCAGGCAGGTGAAGTTAGCGTGCCAGTGGCGGATAGCGTGCAGGTGAAGACAAGCGCGCCTTTGGTGGCTAGCGTGCAAGGTAAGTTAGCGTGCCGGAGGAGGTAAGTGTGTAGGTCATATTAGCGCACCGGTAGAGGATAGCGGTCAGGTGAAGTTAGCGCGATGGAGGAGGTAAGTGGGCAGGTCAAGTTAGCGCGCCGGTAGAGGATAGCGGGCAGGTGAAGTTAGCGCGCCGGTGGAGGATGGAGAGCAGGTAACGTTAGCGCGCCGGTGGAGGATAGCGGGCAGGTGAAGTTAGCGCGCCAGACGAGGTTAGTTGGCAGGTGAAGTTAGCGCGCCGGTGGAGGATAGAAGACAGGTGAAGTTAGCGTGCCGGTGGAGGATGGAGAGCAGGTGAAGTTAGTGCGCCGGTGGAGGATGGAGGGCAGGTGAAGTTAGCGCGCCTGTGGAGGCTAGCGGGCCGGGTTAGTTAGCACGCCGGTGGAGGATGGAGAGCAGGTGAAGTTACCGCGCTGGTGGAGGATAGCAGGCAGGCTAAGTTAGCGCGCCGGTGGAGGATAGCGGTCATTTGAAGTTAGCGCGTTGGACGAGGTTTGCGGGCAGATGAATTTAGCGTGCTGGTGGAGGTTAGCGGGCAGGCTAACTTACCGCGCTGGTGGAGGTAAGTGTGCAGGTGAAGTTAGCGTGCTGTGTTGTGGCTAGTGGGCAGGGTTCGTTAGCGCGCCGGTGGAGGTAATTGGGCAGGTCAAGTTAGTGCGCCGGTAGGGGATAGCAGGTAGGTGAAGGTAGCGCGCCAGGCGAGGTTAGCGGTTAGAGGAAGTTAGCGCGCCGGTGGAGGTTAGCAGGCAGGAGAAGTTAGCGCTCCGGTGGAGGATAGCGGGCAGGTGAAGTTAGCGCCCCGGACGAGGTTAGTGGGCAGGGTATGTTAGCGCGCCGGTGGAGGTTAGCGGTCAGGTGAAGTTAGCGCGCCTGTGGAGGCTAGCGGGCAGGGTACGTTAGCGCGCCGGACGCGGTTAGTGGGCAGGTGAAGTTAGCGCGCCGGTGGAGGATAGCGGGCAGGTGAAGTTAGCGCGTTGGACGAGGTTAGTTGGCAGGGTACGTTAGCGCGCCAGTGGAGGATAGCGGGCAGGTGAAGTTACCGCCCTGGACGAGGTTAGTGGGCAGGGTACGTTAGCGCGCCAGGGGAGGTTAGCGGGCAGGCGAAGTTAGCGCGCTGGTGGAGGATAGCGGGCTGGTGAAGATAGCGCGCTGGTGGAGGTTAGCGGGCAGGTATAATTAGCGAGCCCGTGGAGGTGAGCTGGCAGGCTAAATTATCGTGCCAGTGGAGGATAGTAGGCAGATAAGTTAGCACACCGGCAGAAGATAGCGGGCAGGGCAAGGTAGTGCGCCGGTGGAGGCTAGCGGGAAGGTTATGTTAGCGCGCCGGTGGAGGATAGCGGGCAGGTCAAGTTAGAGCGCCGGCAGATGCTAGATGGCAGGGCAAGCTGGCGCGCCTAGGGAGGATGTTAGCGGGCCGATGAATTTAGCACGCCGGTGGAGGATATCGGGCAGGTAAGTTAGCGCACCAGCAGAGGATAGCTTGCAGGGCAGGGTAGCACGCCGGTGGAGGCTAGCGGGAAGGTTATGTTAGCGCGCCGGTGGAGGATAGCGGGCAGGTCAAGTTAGAGCGCCGGCAGATGCTAGATGGCAGGTCAAGCTGGCGCGCCAAGGGAGGATGTTAGCGGGCCGATGAATTTAGCACGCCGGTGGAGGTTAGCGGGCAGGCTAAGTTAGCGCGCTGGTGGAGGATAGCAGGCAGGGTAAGTTAGCGCGCCGGAGGATGTTAGCGGGCAGATGAATTTAGCGCGCCTGTGGAGGTTAGCTGGCAGGCCATGTTAGCGCGCCAAGGGAGGATATTCCTGGACAGATGAATTTAGCGCGCCGGTGGTGGTGAGCGGGCAGGCCAAGTCAGCGCTCCGGTGGTAGATAGCGTGCAGGTGAAGTCAAGCGCGCCTGTGGAGGCTAGCTTGCAGGGTAAATTAGAGTGCCGGAGGAGGTAAGTGTGCAGGTCATATTAGGGCGCCGGTAGAGGATCGCAGTCAGGTGAAGTTAGCATGCCAGTGGAGGATAGCGTGCAGGTGAAGTTAGAGCACCTGTGGAGGCTAGAGGGCAGGGTTAGTTAGCGTGCCGGTGGAGGATCGCAGGCAGGTGAAGTGAACGCGCAGGTGGAGGATAGCGGGCAGGCTAAGTTAGCGCGCCGGTGAAGGATAGCTTTCAGGTGAAGTTAGCGCGTTGGACGAGGTTTGCGGGCAGATGAATCTAGTGCGCCGGTGGAGGTTAGCGGGCAGGCAAAGTTAGTGTGCAGTTGGAGGATAGGGGGCAGGTGAAGCTAGCGCACCGCTAGAGGACAGCGGGCAGGTGAAGTTAGCGCGACGGAGGAGGTAAGTGGGCAGGTCAACTTAGCGCTCCGGTAGAGGATAGCAGGCAAGTGAAGTTAGTGCACCGGTGGAGGATGGAGGGCAGGTGAAGTTAGCGCGTCGGAGGAGGTTAGCGGGCAGGCTAAGTTAGCACGCCGGTGGAGGATAGCGAGCAGGTGAAGTTAGCGCGCCGGTGGAGATTAGCGGACAGGTGAAGTTGGCGCGCTGTTGGAGGATAACGGGCAGATGAATTTAGCACGCCGGTGGAGGTTAGCGGGCAGGTAAAATTAGCGAGCCCGTGGAGGTGATCTGGCAGGCTAAGTTAGCGTGCCGGTGGAGGATAGCGTGCAGGTGAAGTTAGCGTGCCTGTGGAGGCTAGCGGGCAGGGTACGTTAGCGCGCGGGTGGAAGTAAGTGGGTAGGTCAAGTTAGCGCGCCGGTAGAGGATAGCAGGTTGGTGAAGGTAGCGCGCCAGGAGAGGTTAGCGGGCAGAGGAATTTAGCGCGCCGGTGGAGGTGAGCGGGCAGGAGAAGTTAGCGCGCCGGTGGCGGATAGCGTGCAGGTGAAGTCAAGCGTGCCTGTGGAGGCTACCGTGCAGGGTAAGTTAGCGTGCCGGAGAAGGTAAGTGTGCAGGTCATATTAGCGTGCCGGTAGAGGATAGCGGTGAGGTGTAGTTAGCGCGATGGAGGAGGTAAGTGGGCAGGTCAAGCTAGCGCGCCGGTAGAGGATAGCGGTCAGGTGAAGTTAGCGCGATGGAGGAGGATAGCGGGCAGGTCAAGTTAGCGCGCCGGTGGAGGATAGCGGGCAGGTGAAGTTAGCGCGCCAGACGAGGTTAGTATGCAGGTGAAGTTAGCGCTCCGGTTTAGGATAGAGGACAGGTGAAGTTAGCTCGCCGGTGGAGGTTAGAGGGCAGCCTAAGTTAGCGTGCTGTTGGAGGATAGCGGGCAGGGTAAGCACGCTGCAGGAGGTAAGTGGGCAGGGAAGTTAGCCCGCCGGTAGAGGATAGCAGGCAGGCTAAGTTAGCGCGCCGGTGGAGGATAGAGGACAAGTGAAGTTAGCGCGCCTGTGGAGGCTCGCAGTCAGGGTTAGCTAGTGCGCCGGTGGAGGATAGCAGGCAGGTGAAGTGAACGCGCCGGTGGAGGATAGCGGGCAGGCTAAGTTAGCGCGCCGGTGGAGGATAGCCGTCATTTGAAGTTAGCACGTTGGACGAGGTTTGCGGGCAGATGAATTTAGCGCGCCGGTGGAGTTAAGCGGGCAGGTGAAGTTAGCGAGCCGGTGGAGGTTAGCGAGCAGGTGAAGTTAGCGCGCCGGTGGACGCTAGCAGGTAGGTGATGTTAGCACGCCGGTGGAGGATAGCGGGCAGGTGAAGTTAGCGCGCTGGTAGAGGATGGAGGGCACGTGAAGTTAGCGCGCCGGACGAGGTTAGTGGGCAGGGTCCGTTAGCGCTCCGGTTTAGGATAGCGGGCAGGTGAAGTTGGTGCGCTGTTGGAGGATAGCGGGCAGGTGAAGATAGCGCGCCGGTGGAGGTTAGCGGGCAGGTAAAATTAGCGAGCCTGTGGAGGTGATCTGGCAGGCTAAGTAAGCGTGCCTGTGAAGGATAGCGTGCAGGTGAAGTCAAGCGTGCCTGTGGAGGCTACCGTGCAGGGTAAGTTAGCGTGCCGGAGAAGGTAAGTGTGCAGGTCATATTAGCGCGCCGGTGGAGGATAGCGGTCAGGTGAAGCTAGCGCGACGGAGGAGGTAAGTGGGCAGGTCAAGTTAGCTCGCCGGTAGAGGTTAGCGGGCAGGTGAAGTTAGCGCGCCAGACGAGGTTAGTGGGCAGGTGAAGTAAGCGCGCCTGTTGAGGATAGAGGACAGGTGAAGTTAGCGCACCTGTGGAGGATAGCGGGCAGGCGAAGTTAGCGTACCGGTGGAGGTTAGAGGGCAGCCTAAGTTAGCGTGCTGTTGGAGGATAGCGGGCAGGTGAAGTTAGCGCGCTGGTAGAGGATGGAGGGCACGTGAAGTTAGCGCGCCGGACGAGGTTAGTGGGCAGGGTCCGTTAGCGCTCCGGTTTAGGATAGCGGGCAGGTGAAGTTGGTGCGCTGTTGGAGGATAGCGGGCAGGTGATGATAGCGCGCCGGTGGAGGTTAGCGGGCAGGTAAAATTAGCGAGCCTGTGGAGGTGATCTGGCAGGCTAAGTAAGCATGCCTGTGAAGGATAGCGTGCAGGTGAAGTCAAGCGTGCCTGTGGAGGCTACCGTGCAGGGTAAGTTAGCGTGCCGGAGAAGGTAAGTGTGCAGGTCATATTAGCGCGCCGGTGGAGGATAGCGGTCAGGTGAAGCTAGCGCGACGGAGGAGGTAAGTGGGCAGGTCAAGTTAGCTCGCCGGTAGAGGTTAGCGGGCAGGTGAAGTTAGCGCGCCAGACGAGGTTAGTGGGCAGGTGAAGTAAGCGCGCCGGTTGAGGATAGAGAACAGGTGAAGTTAGCGCGCCTGTGGAGGATAGCGGGCAGGCGAAGTTAGCGTACCGGTGGAGGTTAGAGGGCAGCCTAAGTTAGCGTGCTGTTGGAGGATAGCGGGCAGGTGAAGCATTCACCCAGACAGAGGGTAGAGAGCTGGGCAAGTTAGCATTCTGGAAGATGTTAGCAGGCAACTAGGCGCGCCAGTGGAGTTTAGCAAGCAGGCTAAGTTAGCACGCTGGTGGAGGACAGCGGACAGGTGAAGTTAGCGTGCCTGTGGAGGCTAGCGGGCAGGGTAAGCGCGCTGCAGGAGCTAAGTGGGCAGGGAAGTTAGCCCGCCGGTAGAGGATAGCAGGCAGGCTAAGTTAGCGCGCCGGTGGAGGACAGCCTGCAGGTGAAGGTAGCGCGCTGGCAGAGTGTAGAGAGCTGGCCAAGTTAGCATTCTGGAAGAGGTTAGCGGACAACTAAGAGCGATCGTGGAGGTTAGGAAGCAGGCTAAGTTAGCGCGCCGGTGGAGGATAGAGGACAGGTGAAGTTAGCGCGCCTGTGGAGGCTAGCAGTCAGGGTTAGTTAGCGCGCCGGTGGAGGATAGCAGGCAGGTGAAGTGAACGCGCCGGTGGAGGATAGCGGGCAGGCTAAGTTAGCGCGCCGGTGGAGGATAGCTGTCATCTGAAGATAGCGCGTTGGACGAGGTTTGCGGGCAGATGAATTTAGCGCGCCGGTGGAGTTAAGCGGGCAGGTGAAGTTAGCGAGCCGGTGGAGGTTAGCGAGCAGGTGAAGTTAGCGCGCCGGTGGACGCTAGCAGGTAGGTGATGTTAGCACGCCGGTGGAGGATAGCGGGCAGGTGAAGTTAGCGCGCTGGTAGAGGATGGAGGGCACGTGAAGTTAGCGCGCCGGACGAGGTTAGTGGGCAGGGTCCGTTAGCGCTCCGGTTTAGGATAGCGGGCAGGTGAAGTTGGTGCGCTGTTGGAGGATAGCGGGCAGGTGAAGATAGCGCGCCGGTGGAGGTTAGCGGGCAGGTAAAATTAGCGAGCCTGTGGAGGTGATCTGGCAGGCTAAGTAAGCGTGCCTGTGAAGGATAGCGTGCAGGTGAAGTCAAGCGTGCCTGTGGAGGCTACCGTGCAGGGTAAGTTAGCGTGCCGGAGAAGGTAAGTGTGCAGGTCATATTAGCGCGCCGGTGGAGGATAGCGGTCAGGTGAAGCTAGCGCGACGGAGGAGGTAAGTGGGCAGGTCAAGTTAGCTCGCCGGTAGAGGTTAGCGGGCAGGTGAAGTTAGCGCGCCAGACGAGGTTAGTGGGCAGGTGAAGTAAGCGCGCCGGTTGAGGATAGAGGACAGGTGAAGTTAGCGCGCCTGTGGAGGATAGCGGGCAGGCGAAGTTAGCGTACCGGTGGAGGTTAGAGGGCAGCCTAAGTTAGCGTGCTGTTGGAGGATAGCGGGCAGGTGAAGTTAGCGCGCTGGTAGAGGATGGAGGGCACGTGAAGTTAGCGCGCCGGACGAGGTTAGTGGGCAGGGTCCGTTAGCGCTCCGGTTTAGGATAGCGGGCAGGTGAAGTTGGTGCGCTGTTGGAGGATAGCGGGCAGGTGATGATAGCGCGCCGGTGGAGGTTAGCGGGCAGGTAAAATTAGCGAGCCTGTGGAGGTGATCTGGCAGGCTAAGTAAGCGTGCCTGTGAAGGATAGCGTGCAGGTGAAGTCAAGCGTGCCTGTGGAGGCTACCGTGCAGGGTAAGTTAGCGTGCCGGAGTAGGTAAGTGTGCAGGTCATATTAGCGCGCCGGTGGAGGATAGCGGTCAGGTGAAGCTAGCGCGACGGAGGAGGTAAGCGGGCAGGTCAAGTTAGCTCGCCGGTAGAGGTTAGCGGGCAGGTGAAGTTAGCGCGCCAGACGAGGTTAGTGGGCAGGTGAAGTAAGCGCGCCGGTTGAGGATAGAGAACAGGTGAAGTTAGCGCGCCTGTGGAGGATAGCGGGCAGGCGAAGTTAGCGTACCGGTGGAGGTTAGAGGGCAGCCTAAGTTAGTGTGCTGTTGGAGGATAGCGGGCAGGTGAAGCATTCACCCAGACAGAGGGTAGAGAGCTGGGCAAGTTAGCATTCTGGAAGATGTTAGCAGGCAACTAGGCGCGCCAGTGGAGTTTAGCAAGCAGGCTAAGTTAGCACGCTGGTGGAGGACAGCGGACAGGTGAAGTTAGCGTGCCTGTGGAGGCTAGCGGGCAGGGTAAGCGCGCTGCAGGAGCTAAGTGGGCAGGGAAGTTAGCCCGCCGGTAGAGGATAGCAGGCAGGCTAAGTTAGCGCGCCGGTGGAGGACAGCCTGCAGGTGAAGGTAGCGCGCTGGCAGAGTGTAGAGAGCTGGCCAAGTTAGCATTCTGGAAGAGGTTAGTGGACAACTAAGAGCGATCGTGGAGGTTAGGAAGCAGGCTAAGTTAGCGCGCCGGTGGAGGATAGAGGACAGGTGAAGTTAGCGCGCCTGTGGAGGCTAGCAGTCAGGGTTAGTTAGCGCGCCGGTGGAGGATAGCAGGCAGGTGAAGTGAACGCGCCGGTGGAGGATAGCGGGCAGGCTAAGTTAGCGCGCCGGTGGAGGATAGCTGTCATCTGAAGATAGCGCGTTGGACGAGGTTTGCGGGCAGATGAATTTAGCGCGCCGGTGGAGTTAAGCGGGCAGGTGAAGTTAGCGAGCCGGTGGAGGTTAGCGAGCAGGTGAAGTTAGCGCGCCGGTGGACGCTAGCAGGTAGGTGATGTTAGCACGCCGGTGGAGGATAGCGGGCAGGTGAAGTTAGCGCGCTGGTAGAGGATGGAGGGCACGTGAAGTTAGCGCGCCGGACGAGGTTAGTGGGCAGGGTCCGTTAGCGCTCCGGTTTTGGATAGCGGGCAGGTGAAGTTGGTGCGCTGTTGGAGGATAGCGGGCAGGTGAAGATAGCGCGCCGGTGGAGGTTAGCGGGCAGGTAAAATTAGCGAGCCTGTGGAGGTGATCTGGCAGGCTAAGTAACCGTGCCTGTGAAGGATAGCGTGCAGGTGAAGTCAAGCGTGCCTGTGGAGGCTACCGTGCAGGGTAATTAGCGTGCCGGAGAAGGTAAGTGTGCAGGTCATATTAGCGCGCCGGTGGAGGATAGCGGTCAGGTGAAGCTAGCGCGACGGAGGAGGTAAGTGGGCAGGTCAAGTTAGCTCGCCGGTAGAGGTTAGCGGGCAGGTGAAGTTAGCGCGCCAGACGAGGTTAGTGGGCAGGTGAAGTAAGCGCGCCGGTTGAGGATAGAGGACAGGTGAAGTTAGCGCGCCTGTGGAGGATAGCGGGCAGGCGAAGTTAGCGTACCGGTGGAGGTTAGAGGGCAGCCTAAGTTAGCGTGCTGTTGGAGGATAGCGGGCAGGTGAAGTTAGCACGCTGGTAGAGGATGGAGGGCACGTGAAGTTAGCGCGCCGGACGAGGTTAGTGGGCAGGGTCCGTTAGCGCTCCGGTTTAGGATAGCGGGCAGGTGAAGTTGGTGCGCTGTTGGAGGATAGCGGGCAGGTGATGATAGCGCGCCGGTGGAGGATAGCGGGCAGGTAAAATTAGCGAGCCTGTGGAGGTGATCTGGCAGGCTAAGTAAGCGTGCCTGTGAAGGATAGCGTGCAGGTGAAGTCAAGCGTGCCTGTGGAGGCTACCGTGCAGGGTAAGTTAGCGTGCCGGAGTAGGTAAGTGTGCAGGTCATATTAGCGCGCCGGTGGAGGATAGCGGTCAGGTGAAGCTAGCGCGACGGAGGAGGTAAGTGGGCAGGTCAAGTTAGCTCGCCGGTAGAGGTTAGTGGGCAGGTGAAGTTAGCGCGCCAGACGAGGTTAGTGGGCAGGTGAAGTAAGCGCGCCGGTTGAGGATAGAGAACAAGTGAAGTTAGCGCGCCTGTGGAGGATAGCGGGCAGGCGAAGTTAGCGTACCGGTGGAGGTTAGAGGGCAGCCTAAGTTAGCGTGCTGTTGGAGGATAGCGGGCAGGTGAAGCATTCACCCAGACAGAGGGTAGAGAGCTGGGCAAGTTAGCATTCTGGAAGATGTTAGCAGGCAACTAGGCGCGCCAGTGGAGTTTAGCAAGCAGGCTAAGTTAGCACGCTGGTGGAGGACAGCGGACAGGTGAAGTTAGCGTGCCTGTGGAGGCTAGCGGGCAGGGTAAGCGCGCTGCAGGAGCTAAGTGGGCAGGGAAGTTAGCCCGCCGGTAGAGGATAGCAGGCAGGCTAAGTTAGCGCGCCGGTGGAGGACAGCCTGCAGGTGAAGGTAGCGCGCTGGCAGAGTGTAGAGAGCTGGCCAAGGTAGCATTCTGGAAGAGGTTAGCGGACAACTAAGAGCGATCGTGGAGGTTAGGAAGCAGGCTAAGTTAGCGCGCCGGTGGAGGATAGAGGACAGGTGAAGTTAGCGCGCCTGTGGAGGCTAGCAGTCAGGGTTAGTTAGCGCGCCGGTGGAGGATAACAGGCAGGTGAAGTGAACGCGCCGGTGGAGGATAGCGGGCAGGCTAAGTTAGCGCGCCGGTGGAGGATAGCTGTCATCTGAAGATAGCGCGTTGGACGAGGTTTGCGGGCAGATGAATTTAGCGCGCCGGTGGAGTTAAGCGGGCAGGTGAAGTTAGCGAGCCGGTGGAGGTTAGCGAGCAGGTGAAGTTAGCGCGCCGGTGGACGCTAGCAGGTAGGTGATGTTAGCACGTCGGTGGAGGATAGTGGGCAGATGAAGTTAGCGCGCCGGACGAGGTTAGTGGGCAGGGTCCGTTAGCGCGCTGGTGGAGGTTAGCGTGCAGGTAAAATTAGCGAGCCTGCGGAGGTGATCTGGCAGGCTAAGTAAGCGTGCCTGTGAAGGATAGCGTGCAGGTCAAGTTAGCGTGCCTGTGGGGGCTAGCGGGCAGGGTACGTTAGCGCGCGAGTGGAGGTAAGTGGGCAGGTCAAGTTAGTGCGCCGGTCGAGGATAGCAGGTAGGTGAAGGTAGTGTGCCAGGTGAGGTTAGCGGGCAGAGGAATTTAGCGCGCTGGTGGAGGTTAGCGGGCAGGCGCAGTTAGTGCGCCGGTGGCGGATAGCGTGCAGGTGAAGTCAAGCGTGCCTGTGGAGGCTACCGTGCAGGGTAAGTTAGCGTGCTGGAGGAGGTAAGTGTGCAGGTCATATTAGCGTGCCGGTAGAGGATAGCGGTCAGGAGAAGTTAGCGCGACGGAGGAGGTAAGTGGGCAGGTCAACTTAGCGCGCCGGTAGAGGATAGCGGGCAGGTGAAGTTAGCGCGCCGGTGGAAGATGGAGAGCAGGTGAAGTTAGCGCGCCGGTGGAGGATAGCGTGCAGGTGAAGTTAGCGCGCAGGTGGAGGATGGAGAGCCGGTGAAGTTAGCGCGCCGGTGGAGGATAGAGGACAGGTGAATTTAGCGCGTCTGTGGAGGCTAGCGGGCAGTGTTAGTTAGCGCGCCGGTGGAGGATAGCAGGCAGGTGAAGTGAACGCGCCGGTGGAGGATAGCGGGCAGGCTAAGTTAGCGCGCCTTTGGAGAACAGCTGGCAGGTGAAGTTAGCGCATTGGTCGAGGTTTGCGGGCAGATGAATTTAGTGCGCCGGTGGAGGTTAGCGGGCAGGGTACGTTAGCGCCGGTGGAGGTAAGTGGGCAGGTCAAGTTAGTTCGCCGGTAGAGGATAGCAGGGTGGTGAAGGTAGCGCGCCTGTCGAGGTTAGCGCGCAGAGGAATTTAGCACGCCGGTGGAGGTTAGCGGGCAGGAGAAGTTAGCGCTCCGGTGGAGAATAGCGTGCAGGTGAAGTTAGCGCTCCGGTGGAGAATAGCGTGCAGGTGAAGTTAGCGCGCCGGTGGTGGTTAGCGGGCAGGTGAAGTTGGTGCGCTGTTGGAGGATAGCGTTCAGGTGAAGTTAGCGTGCCTGTGGAGGCTAGCGGGCAGGGTACGTTAACGCGCGGGTGGAGGTAAGTGGGCAGGTCAAGTTAGTGCGCCGGTAGAGGATAGCGGGTAGGTGAAGGTAGCGCGCCAGGCGAGGTTAGCGGGCAGAGGAATTTAGCGCGCCTGTGGAGGTGAGCGGGCAGGAGAAGTTAGCGCTCCGGTGGAGGATAGCGGGCAGGTGAAGTTAGCGCGCCGGAAGCGGTTAGTTCGCAGGGTACGTTAGCGCGCGGGTGGAGGACAGCGGACAGGTGAATTTAGCGCGCCGGACGAGGTTAGTGGGCAGGGCACGTTAGCGCGCTGGTGGAGGTTAGCTGGCTGGTGAAGTTGGCGCGCTGGTGGAGGATAGCGGGCAGGTGAAGATAGCGTGCAGACAGAGGGGAGAGAGCTGGCCAAGTGAGCATTCTGGAAGAGGTTAGCGGGCAAATAGGCGCACCGGTGGAGTTTAGCAAGCAGGCTAAGTTAGCGCGCCAGTGGAGGACAGCGGAGAGTTGAAGTTAGCGCGCCTGTGGAGGCTAGCGGGCAGGGTAAGCGAGCTGCAGGAGGTAAGTGGGCAGGGAAGTTAGCGCGCCGGTAGAGGATAGCAGGCAGGCTAAGTTAGCGCGCCGGTGGAGGACAGCCATCAGGTGAAGGTAGCGCGCTGGCAGAGGGTAGAGAGCTGGCCAAGTTTGCATTCTGGAAGAGGTTAGCGGACAACTAAGCGCGACGGTGTATGTTAGCAAGCAGGCTAAGTTAGCGCGCCGGTGGAGGATAGCGGACTGGTGAACTCAAGCACGACTGTGGAGGCTAGCGTACAGGGTAAGTTAGCATGCTGGTTGAGGTAAGTGTGCAGGTCATATTAGCGCACCGGTAGAGGATAGCGGTGAGGTGAAGTTAGCGCTACGGATGAGGTAAGTGGGCAGGTCAAGTTAGTGCGCCGGTAGAGGATAGCGGGCAGGTGAAGTTAGCGCGCCGGACGAGGTTTGTGAGCAGGGTACGTTAGCGCGCCGGTGGAGGTTAGCGGGCAGGCAGAGTTGGCGCGCTGGTGGAGGACAGCGGGCAGGTGAAGATTGCGCGCCGATGGAGGATAGCTAGCAGGCGAAGTTAGCGCGCTGGTGGAGATTAGCGGGCAGCCTAAGTTAGCGTGCTGTTGGAGGATAGCGGGCAGGTGAAGCTTTCACCCAGACAGAGGGTAGAGAGCTGGCCAAGTTAGCATTCTGGAAGATGTTAGCAGGCAACTAGGCGCGGCGGTGGAGTTTAGCAAGCAGGCTAACTTAGCGCACCGGTGGAGGACAGCGGACAGGTGAAGTTAGCGTGCCTGTGGAGGCTAGCGGGCAGGGTAAGCGCGCTGCAGGAGCTAAGTGGGCAGGGAAGTTAGCCCGCCGGTAGAGGATAGCAGGCAGGCTAAGTTAGCGCGCCCGTGGAGGACAGCCTGCAGGTGAAGGTAGCGCGCTGGCAGAGGGTAGAGAGGTGGCCAAGTTAGCATTCTGGAAGAGGTTAGCGGACAACTAAGAGCGATCGTGGAGGTTAGCAAGCAGGCTAAGTTAGCGCGCCGGTGGAGGATAGAGGACAGGTGAAGTTAGCGCGCCTGTGGAGGCTAGCAGTCAGGGTTAGTTAGCGCGCCGGTGGAGGATAGCAGGCAGGTGAAGTTAGCGCGCCGGTGGAGGATAGCTGTCATCTGAAGTTAGCGCGTTGGACGAGGTTTGCGGGCAGATGAATTTAGCGCGCCGGTGGAGTTAAGCGGGCAGGTGAAGTTAGCGAGCCGGTGGAGGTTAGCGAGCAGGTGAAGTTAGCGCGCCGGTGGAGGATTGCAGGTAGGTGATGTTAGCACGCTGGTGGAGGATAGCGGGCAGGTGAAGTTAGCGCGCCGGAGAAGGATAGCGGGCAGTAGAAGTTAGCGCGCCGGTGGAGGATGGAGGGCAGGTGAAGTTAGCGTGCCGGTGGAGGAAGGAGGGCAGGTGAAGTTAGCGCGCCGGTGGAGGATAGCGGTCAGGTGAAGTTAGCGCGTTGGACGAGGTTTGCGGGCAGATGAATTTAGCGCGCCGGTGGAGGTTAGCCGGCAGGGTACGTTAGCACGCGGGTGGAGGTAAGTGGGCTGGTCAAGTTAGTGCGCCGGTAGAGGATAGCAGGTAGGTGAAGGTAGTCGCCAGGCGAGGTTAGCGGGCAGAGGAATTTAGCGCGCTGTTGGAGGTTAGCAGGCAGGTGAAGATAGCGCGCCGGTGGCGCATAGCGTGCAGGTGAAGTCAAGCGTGCCTGTGGAGGCTACCGTGCACGGTAAGTTAGCGTGCCAGAGGAGTTAAGTGTGCAGGTCATATTAGCGCGCCGGTAGAGGATAACGGTCAGGTCAAGTTAGCGCGCCGGTGGAGGTAAGGGGGCAGGTCAAGTTAGTGCGCCGGTAGAGGATAGCGGGTAGGTGAAGGTAGCGCGCCAGGCGAGGTTAGCGGGCAGAGGAATTTAGCGCCCCGGTGGAGGTGAGCGGGCAGAAGTTAGCGCTCCGGTGGAGGATAGCGGGCAGGTGAAGTTAGCGCGTCGGACGAGGTTAGTGGGCAGGGTACGTTAGCGCGCGGGTGGAGGACAGCGGACAGGTGAATTTAGCGCGCCGGACGAGGTTAGTGGGCAGGGTACGTTAGCGCGCTGGTGGAGGTTAGCTGGCTGGTGAAGTTGGCGCGCTGGTGGTGGATATCGGGCAGGTGAAGATAGCGCGCAGACAGAGGGTAGAGAGCTGGCCAAGTGAGCATTCTGGAAGAGGTTAGCGGGCAACTAGGCGCGCCTGTGGAGTTTAGCAAGCAGGCTAAGTTAGCGTGCTGGTGGAGGACAGCGGACAGGTGAAGTTAGCGCGCCTGTGGAGGCTAGCGGGCAGGGTAAGCGAGCTGCAGGAGGTAAGTGGGCAGGGAAGTTAGCGCGCCGGTAGAGGATAGCATGCAGGCTAAGTTAGCGCGCCGGTGGAGGACAGCCTGCAGGTGAAGGTAGCGCGCTGGCAGAGGGTAGAGAGCTGGCCAAGTTTGCATTCTGGAAGAGGTTAGCGGACAACTAAGCGCGACGGTGTAGGTTAGCAAGCAGGCTAAGTTAGCGCGCCGGTGGAGGATAGCGGACTGGTGAACTCAAGCTCGACTGTGGAGGCTAGCGTGCAGGGTAAGTTAGCGTGCTGGAGGAGGTAAGTGTGCAGGTCATATTAGCCCACCGGTAGAGGATAGCGGTCAGGTGAAGTTAGCGCTACGGATGAGGTAAGTGGGCAGGTCAAGTTAGCGCGCCTGTGGAGGATAGCGGGCAGGTGAAGTTAGCGCGCCAGACGAGGTTAGTGGGCAGGGTCCGTTAGCGCGCCGGTGGAGGTTAGCGGGCAGGTAAAATTAGCGAGCCTGTGGAGGTGATCTGGCAGGCTAAGTAAGCGTGCCTGTGGAGGATAGCGTGCAGGTGAAGTCAAACGTGCCTGTGGAGGCTACCGTGCAGGGTAAGTTAGCGTGCCGGAGGAGGTAAGTGGGCAGGTCAAGTTAGCGCGCCGGTAGAGGATAGCGGGCAGGTGAAGTTAGCGCGCCGGTGGAAGATGGAGAGCAGGTGAAGTTAGCGCGCCGGTGGAGGATAGCGGGCAGGTGAAGTTAGCGCGTAGGTGGAGGATAGCTAGCAGGCGAAGTTAGCGCGCCAGTGGAGGTTAGAGGGCAGCCTAAGTTAGCGTGCTGTTGGAGGATAGCGGGCAGGTGAAGCTTTCACCCAGACAGAGGGTAGAGAGCTGGCCAAGTTAGCATTCTGGAAGATGTTAGCGGGCAACTAGGCGCGGCGGTGGAGTTTAGCAAGCAGGCTAACTTAGCGCACCGGTGGAGGACAGCGGACAGGTGAAGTTAGCGTGCCTGTGGAGGCTAGCGGGCAGGGTAAGCGCGCTGCAGGAGCTAAGTGGGCAGGGAAGTTAGCCCGCCGGTAAAGGATAGCAGGCAGGCTAAGTTAGCGCGCCGGTGGAGGACAGCCTGCAGGTGAAGGTAGCGCGCTGGCAGAGGGTAGAGAGGTGGCCAAGTTAGCATTCTGGAAGAGGTTAGCGGACAACTAAGAGCGATCGTGGAGATTAGCAAGCAGGGTAAGTTAGCACGCCGGTGGAGGATAGAGGACAGGTGAAGTTAGCGCGCCTGTGGAGGCTAGCAGTCAGGGTTAGTTAGCGCGCCGGTGGAGGATAGCAGGCAGTTGAAGTTAGCGCGCTGGTGGAGGATAGCTGTCATCTGAAGTTAGCGCGTTGGACGAGGTTTGCGGGCAGATGAATTTAGCGCGCCAGTGGAGTTAAGCGGGCAGGTGAAGTTAGCGAGCCGGTGGAGGTTAGCAAGCAGGTGAAGTTAGCGCGCCGGTGGAGGATTGCAGGTAGATGATGTTAGCACGCTGGTGGAGGATAGCGGGCAGGTGAAGTTAGCGCGCCGGAGAAGGATAGCGGGCAGTAGAAGTTAGCGCGCCGGTGGAGGATGGAGGGCAGGTGAAGTTAGCGCGCCGGTGGAGGATGGAGGGTAGGTGAAGTTAGCGCGCCGGTGGAGGATAGCGGGCAGGTGAAGTTAGCGCGCCGGAGAAGGATAGCAGGCAGGCGAAGTGAACGTGTCGGTGGAGGATAGCGGTCAGGTGAAGTTAGTGCGTTGGACGAGGTTTGCGGGCAGATGAATTTAGCGCGCCGGTGGAGGTTAGCGGGCAGGGTACGTTAGCGCGCGAGTGGAGGTAAGTGGGCTGGTCAAGTTAGTGCGCCGGTAGAGGATAGCAGGTAGGTGAAGGTAGTCGCCAGGCGAGGTTAGCGGGCAGAGGAATTTAGCGCGCTGTTGGAGGTTAGCAGGCAGGTGAAGATAGCGCGCCGGTGGCGCATAGCGTGCAGGTGAAGTCAAGCGTGCCTGTGGAGGCTACCGTGCACGGTAAGTTAGCGTGCCGGAGGAGGTAAGTGTGCAGGTCATATTAGCGCGCCGGTAGAGGATAACGGTCAGGTCAAGTTAGCGCGCCGGTGGAGGTAAGTGGGCAGGTCAAGTTAGTGCGCCGGTAGAGGATAGCGGGTAGGTGAAGGTAGCGCGCCAGGCGAGGTTAGTGGGCAGAGGAATTTAGCGGGCCGGTGGAGGTGAGCGGGCAGAAGTTAGCGCTCCGGTGGAGGATAGCGGGCAGGTGAAGTTAGCGCGTCGGACGAGGTTAGTGGGCAGGGTACGTTAGCGCGCGGGTGGAGGACAGCGGACAGGTGAATTTAGCGCGCCGGACGAGGTTAGTGGGCAGGGTACGTTAGCGCGCTGGTGGAGGTTAGCTGGCTGGTGAAGTTGGCGCGCTGGTGGAGGATAGCGGGCAGGTGAAGATAGCGTGCAGACAGAGGGGAGAGAGCTGGCCAAGTGAGCATTCTGGAAGAGGTTAGCGGGCAACTAGGCGCGCCTGTGGAGTTTAGCAAGCAGGCTAAGTTAGCGCGCTGGTGGAGGACAGCGGACAGGTGAAGTTAGCGCGCCTGTGGAGGCTAGCGGGCAGGGTAAGCGAGCTGCAGGAGGTAAGTGGGCAGGGAAGTTAGCGCGCCGGTAGAGGATAGCAGGCAGGCTAAGTTAGCGCGCCGGTGGAGGACAGCCATCAGGTGAAGGTAGCGCGCTGGCAGAGGGTAGAGAGCTGGCCAAGTTTGCATTCTGGAAGAGGTTAGCGGACAACTAAGAGCGATC